TGTTGTTCATAACCAAGGCAATGAATATGTGTACAGCAGAGTTACACATCAACAGCACAACAATGACTACACAGGCAACGCCTAGCCAGACCACGTGCATGAACAACATGCAAAATTTTTAATCAAGCAAATGAATTATAATAATCACTTGAACATCTGATAATTTTCCTGAACACCAGACTAAGTACATTATGCATTACATTACGTTAACGAAATTCAACGTGTTCAAAAGGCCACACGATACTCACTCCAACTAAGGAAATAGGATAATGAACGAATACGTTCAGACAAATTACAACGATGGCAAAGATCGAAACACGTTAACATGTACTCTTGAGTTTCAACATACCACCAGATCAGTAAATCGCCTCCAGTGACCTGAATTCAAACTATCTCCGAGCGAGGAAATACTCAGATATCCGGATCCACCACACAGTCTTTCGCAAATTTAGATCTAACACAGAAACTAACTATTAAAAGGTACGAACATCGTCAGATCAGTTAGACGATTCATCTAGCTCTGCTCGGTCGCCCTAAATCCACGCTGCCTGAAATGCCATAGGCGACTTACGCAACTACATTTGAGCGAGCCACGAGACTTTTTCTTCCTCTTCTTCTTCGCTTCCAAATTGTACCTCATCGAAGTGTTGGGGGGAGATGTAATATTCTTTGATAAGCTCTGTCAAGAGCACTATTAAGACTGATGTTCATTTCTGTAAGGCTGTTTTTAATGCCATCACTACTTATTTTCCGAGGTCTTCCACACGCTCTATACCCGTTGTAACGTTTTAGTTTGGCTCGCTGTGGCAGATAGTACCAGGGCATTCTTGTTAGGTGTCCAAACCACTTTATTTGTTGACTTGACTTGACTTGGTTGGTAAAAAAAAAAAAAAAAAAATTCGCGCTTCTTTCAACCGGCTCCTAGTTTGAGCAGTGATTATATCGAAGGCTGTGTTTAGTTGTATGGAATTCGTTTTCCAATTGACGTCTAGTTTCTGTTGCGGCGTATATATAATCGCCTGAGGTTGCTGTTGCTTTCAGAGTGTCGGAAGGGATCTCGGCCTGCCCTAAAAAGGGCAGGCCATAGCCTGGGACGGCCTGATTTGGGTATGGTGGGAGTCAATTTGGCGATGGGCATCGTGCCTGGCTGGTTGCGAGCTGAGGTTTCTCCGGGTTGGTGGGCGGGCCTGTTAATCTGTTATGGCGGCTTGGGCGGTTTTTATTGGTAGTTGGTTTCCACGGTGTCTTCTTTAGTATTTGGAGTTCTTTCGTCTGCCTCGTTTGCCTTGGGGTGTTTGCTGCCAGTGGTTCTGCTCTTCTCCCTCGTTTGTTGGGGGTCCCTTTGAATCTCCAGTATGTGTTTCCAGTTTCTTCGTCAATCTCCTCTGTTTTGTAAGGTTCAACTATGGGCCCATGCCTCTGCCAGTTGCGCTTGTATGATTTTGTCTGCTTCCATCTTTTTGTCAAGTTTTCTTTCCTCTTGGGTGGCCTCGAGGAGGGTCCTCAGCGCCTTGGGGCTGTGCTCCCCACTATGGGCTTCTGTGTCCTGGTCTGTACCTTTGACGGGTTCAGTCAGCTGCGCCTGATCTTTTACTGTTTTTTCTTCAGTGGCTGTGCCTTTATCCGCCTTCTGCGTTAATTTGTCTGTGTGGGTGCTTTTGTCATTCCTGCTGACACTTAGTTTCTTTGTTGCTGTAATGACTGCCCTTTTGTGTCTCCTCCACACTGACTATCTGTGGTGCAGAGTTAACACTGGCTCTGATGTCTAGAGGTTCACAACTCAATCAAAGCAGACATGATCCTCTTCATGGTCACACAACGTCTAACAACGGTTAACACCAGCGGCACATTTCACGAGTTTATTTACACGTTAGCTCAATACACAAATCACAGGTGAATCCACTTACAGCATTCGGACAATAGACGTTGACATATTCACAGCTGGCTTTGACAATCAAACAGGGTACCATCACAGCTGGCCTTCTCGATCATTCATTCCTCGCCGATTCAGATCTACATGCTCTAGTCATTCTCCATTCATCTTCACAGCTTCATTTTCCATCCTTTCTCTCTGGGGCCCAGTCACCGAATGCCCGCCTGATTCTCAATCCCCCAGATCTCCTCATTCACACGTGACACACTCTTTCCTGTCGTTTCACCATATCTCCGTGAAACCCATGCTCTCAGGGACTTGCCCAGTTATGCCAATCATCCCCTGACATTATCCCTATTTATAACATCATTACAGTTGCTATGCTGACTGCAGTCCTTTCTTTCTGTAATAGGTCGCGCTCTGTTCTGGTAACTATCTCAGCCGCGACTGCCTCTGCTTTAGCCTGCACAAGTCGGGTGACCTCTCTGTATGCTTCTTCTCTCGCTTCTTTCAGCACTGCCATCTCTCTGCTTCTCTCCTCTCTCTCCTCCTGTCTGCGTCTTTCGTCAGCTATCTGGGCCGCTGCCAAACTTGCAATAAGAGTGCTGACGCTATCTTTGGTTGCTGTGGCTTCTTTCTGGTTTTCGCTTAGCTGTGCAGTGAACGCTATCCTGTCGTCTTTCAGGGTTTTTATTTCTCCAGCAACAGGGAGATTAGTTCGTGTGTTTCTGCCTTTTCAGCGGCAGCGATGGTTTTCTGTTTCTGGAGCTCTGTCTTTAGTTCCGTGATTACGCTCGCAAGTTCAGGGTCTCTGGTGGTAGCATCCTTCTCTGGCGTTCTGCTTTTGGCTGAGCAGGCGGGTCGGTATTTTGTGCTGCTCGGTCTGGGTGCCACGTACCTCTGCTGGTGGCTGAATAGGTCAGTTGATAACGCCATCTTGATCTCTTTGTGGTACGGACAGCCCAGGTACCTCGCGCTGTGGGCCCCTGCACAGTTTGAGCATCGTCTTCTTGGGTTTGGTCTCTTGAAATCTGGGTCCTCCTTGGCCAGAGGGCACTCCTTAAAATCATGTGCCTGGGAAAAGTATCTGCATGCTAGGCTGCTGCAGCAAGTCGCGGCGGTGTGCCACGCCTTGTTACAGCGTGAGCACTGCAGAATCTCTGTACTGTGGGTTCCCGGTCGCTGCTGCTGCCTGAGTGGGCGGGTGTTGGTGGCTGCCTGCACCACGACTGGGGGGACTTCTAGGTACACTGGTGCCTCGATAGGACCTACGTCCAGGGCTGGCGGCGTCTGGGTGAGTGAGGCTGGCGTCTCTTCAGGATCGTCGACCGGATCTGGCATCGTCAGGGCTGGTGCGACGACAGGTGCTTCCTCCTTGTTGGCTGAGGTCGACCTAGTGTCTCGGCGCTGGACTGGATTCTTCTTGCCACGGGCCATGATTTCGTGTGGCTGTGGCTGGATAGAGCTGTGCAAGTCGGGCGGCAATTGAAAGCTAGATCCCTGCAGAGTCGGCAAGGCTTGTTGAGTGCTTTGAAAAGAACACCAAGCGTGCTTTCTCCGCAGTTCTCTAGACAATCGTGTTACTATATGGTGCTACAACTGGCTGCGTCTTCAACAATGGTGTGTTTACGGGCTGCTAATAACCCAAACGCAGACAACCCCGATAGCGTTGTCGAGACAAACTCACTCAGCCGAATGTCAAGCGAGTATTGTCCAGTATCTAGCTATCGATAATCAGGCTACGAATGGGTAGTTAGCGGGCCACGAGAGACACAAGTGGCTGATCGGGCGGTTGAGCGAGCGAGTGTGGACTGTCAAAAAAAAAAAAAAAGCTTAATTTGTTGTTCTTTAATGACCTGTAAGACTGGCTTTATTCCTAGCATTCGTCTGATTTCATGATTTCGTATTCTGTCTTTCCTTGAAACTCCTGCAGCTCTTCTAATGCATTTCATCTCTGTTGTCATAATTTTACGTTCATTAAATGATGTAAGTGTGCACGTTTGGCATTGATAGCATAGTGTTGGCCAAAAAATAGTTCTGAAAAGATTCCCTTTAGTACTCCAAGGTATCTGCTTGTGTGTCAACAGGGGAGATAGTTACCCCATTACTTGATTAGCTTTGGCACATCTGGAGCTAATTTCTCTGTCCAGTTTTCGGTCTGATGTGAAAATGGCTCCCAAATGCTAATTTCTCTGTTTGTCTCAGGGTGTGGTTTTTTAAAATTTATTCCTAAATTGTCTGTATGTCTTCCTATCATCATGGTCTCTGTCTTCGTAGTATTTATTTTCATATTATATTCCTCCCCTTTGTTGCTAATTTGATTTAGGTGTTTCTGTAGGCATTCCGTATTTTCTGCTATGAGTGCTTGGTCGTCGGCGAATAGTTTGTCCCATCAAGAACCACAGTACTGTGATCGTATCTTGCTATTCGATTTTGAGCAGCTTTCTGTGACAAGTTATATGGAACTGATTCAACTTTTTAGCATGACACTAAAACACAATCCACGTTTCGCAAGCGTAGAGCAGTACTGAAAGAATTACAGCTTTGTAAACCCTTAGCTTGGTCAGCAGGGAAATACCACATATGTTCTGGACACTGGAATAAATTCAGCCTAAACTGCTACTTGCCTTTAAGATTCTAGCGTTGATCTCGTCGTGGATGTTCGACTTTCAGAGATAGGGTACTGACAAGAAGATAAGTGAATGCGCCGACTAATGCGATAGTGGGATTATGGTAATTTGTATGGAAGCCGGGTGACAGATAACAACAATTGTAGTAGTGTTTATAGGTAGCCCTAAGTTGGTACAGGCTTCAGAAAATAATTGATAGTGTGCTGCATACTGGCCTCAGAGCTGGAGTTTAGAGTGCAGTCGTCAGCAAATAAAAGGTCCCTAATTGTAGTTGTTTTAGTTTTTGTTTGAGCTCGAAGCCTCCTCAAATTAAACAAGCTGCCATCTGTACGGCAATGTACATACACACACTCATATACATACAAACATACACACATACATACGTAATACATACATATTTTGTTTCGTATATGTCGCAACGGATAATTTTATTCTATAAAGTAACAAGGGACGCTACTGCTACTGGGTGATGTGATACCCACCAGACAAACTTCGCAATGGCAGACAACGGTTTGGAAGCGATTCGTTCTAAGCGCATGGCTGAAATGAGACAACAGCAGCAGGTAGCACTTGTCGTGCTTCAGAATTATATTTTTCAGATACATAAGTCATTTCTCTAATTCATTAGATATGGTTTGACACTATTTACTTTGCTACTTTGCCGTTGTTCGGAGTAAGGCATGACCTACATAAACAGAAACAGAAACTATTTAGTATTTTTTCTTTATCACGCAGATTACTTTGAGGGGTTGTAGGTAGGCCTACCCATCTGTGATCGTCTCATAAATTCATAAACGAAACTGCAGTATATAATAGTAAATTATTCTATGTTGGCATCTTTCTAAACGATAGTAGTATACTGTAGCGACTACAGACACTGCTGTTATTATAGAGGGAGGCATAGGAATTGCAGGCAATGAATGGCGAGTGCAGCTAGCAAAACACCTTTAACTTAACTCTTTTAGTCCCAATTATACGTTTTAGGTTTAGACTTAGACAACAGATTAACATCATGGCACAAGGGTAGTAACCCATAAGTGCTCCGTTCTACTTCTGACTCAAGCACTGGCAAAGATCCTGAAATACTTAAAGTGGATTTTAACTCCTAATTTTGCCAGTGCAGCACCATTATGCTACTCTTTTAAATTTCCACCTGCCAAAGCATTTTTTACATGCACAACAATACACAGAGGCATCCGATCTTACTACCCAGAGACCAGGGAAAATTACTAGAAGCCCACGTAAAAAAAATCCCAGCCTAAACCCGGGACCTCCAGCACTTGGGGTGGATGCCATACCTCGAGACCATGCAGCTTCCCGGTACATTTATATCTGAATAGTACCTTAACAACATCCCCCTCCCCTCAGTTATTATGACATTGAACCAGCTTCAAAGCCTCTGTAAGTTTATGGATTTTTAAAAACTATTTTATTTCAGGGCCAAAATAAATTTCGGCTATCCTCCGAATAACGGTTCTAAATTATCGATCCGAAAAGTATACCCTAACAGGGCCTCAGTCACATGTCAATTGCGCACTTCCATTGACTGTAACGCCACCGCCGAATTGCGAACTTCCCGCAACTTCCGCCACTGCCGAGAGTATCCCCCACACGCAGCGTAGATTGGGGCTAAACTAGATGAGGTGGCTAGGACTCACGTGCTAATAAAATGAAGGAAGCTGCATGAGATGTGGTAGCTGCTGCTCATAAGTCCCAGCCATCTAGTTTAGCCCCAATGCACGCCGCATGAGCGGCGTGGGTGATACTCTCGGCGGTGGCAGAAGTCGCCGGAAGCGCGCAAATTTAAGACGACGGAAGTGCACAATTGACACGTGACTGAGGCCCTGTTAGGGTATATTTTTCGGCTCGATAATTTAGGACCGTTATTCGGAGGATAGCCTAAATTCCTAACCTGCACAGTCCATGGCAACAAATATTCCCCCTCCTACACCACAAAAGTAGTAAATACAGGCAGTAGTTGCAGTTTTGGGGGCAATAAATATTAATAAATGGTGTACAAAAATTGGAAAAATTCACAAATTTTGAATCGCTGGGTACCATCAGAAACAGCAATGAAGTCAACATTTTGATAGCAAGCATCTTCCCTGTAGCAACACGGATGTGAAGTCATGGGCTGTCTCAGTCTTTAAAGAAGACAATTGTGGCTTCTGAGCTGAGAATATGGACAATGATTCTCAATACCACAGTCAAAGAAGAAGAACAGTACAGACATTCTAAGAGATCTGAACATCAAGGAAGATTGGCTAGTAAACAGTATATTGTCCTGGAAACTGAAAAACTTTGGCAGTTTCAGCGCCACAGTGAAATGGAAAAGATAATACACAAGAAGTGTGGTACCAGGAAAGATGGACAGAGGCATGAAAATGGGCACAGGATAAAGTGACACTTTGAGTGGGAAAATCCTTGAGGTAGAAGAGCCGGTGAGAGACTAAGTTTCTTTCAGGACCATGATGAGAGCGTCATTCTGCAAAGGACCTGTTACATTATGATGATGAATACTAATATATCATTTCAGGACCACTTGAATACTTTCTGAATATGTTCCCAGGAATACAGACTTTCTCTTTGGCATGAGTTTGAAATATCATAATATGATTATCAAAACATCATTTACTGTTACTGATAGTTAGTTGCATATCCTTTACAACAGTTTTCTTTAACCCATGGGTCACAGAAAAGTAAATGAGGGCCCCTGAAATAAATTCTGTCTCATGGTGTAATCTGGTAGCTTAGGTCCTTTTATCTTCCAGCCTGTACGATTCACATCTCAAGGACTTCTTGCTTGTGTTTAAAAAAAAAAAAAAATGTCTCTGGCAATTTAGTTACATTGAATTAAGAATCAACATCATAGCACTCGGGACGCTCCCATAAGTACTCCGTTCCCATCTTCAGTAGCAAGCGAAGAGTTCAATTCTGGTGGTACCAGTAATTCCCCTTTCCCTTGAGTGTTGAGCGTTGGCCAGATCACGTGGTAACTTACTGCAGCGCCATTTTCCTCTGACCGTAATGACCTATTTGTACCTCCACACTGTTGATTCGCTCACAAAGGGCCCTCACAATATCTAGCTTATGGTAAATGTTGAATTAAGAAACAGTCAGTTATAAAAACCAAAAGGATAAATCGAATGGATGTTTTTGTAGATTATTTAATTTCTAAACAGAAACAAATGTCACATTTTCTGAAAATTGGGAATTTGTGACATCAGATTTAACACACACACAAAAACTGCAATCTACATTTGCTTCTGTTTAGTGTTTGGTTAGCTGTAAGTTGTGTCACGAAACAATTTCCGCTGTTTTGATGGGCCGCAAAACAATTTCCACTGTTTTGTTGGGCCGCAAAACAATTTCCACTGTTTTGTTGGGCCGCGGGAGGAAAAAGCTTGAGGAACACTGCTTGACACAACATTGCAGAACCAACCCCGAGCATTTTTTTACCGTTTATCATTTTTCTCTAGGCAATTTTGCATTCAGTAGTTACAGTAGCTTTTGAATTGATAGCTCTAGGTACCAATGTTGAAATGAAAAAAAAGGCCGTTATCACTGACAACTCAACATGTATATTTGTAAATCCAGAAACACATTATACGTTTTAAAAAGTTGCTGCCATGACTTTTTCTTGAACAAAAAAAATGTTTTTTTTAAAAGGTGTCAGTGCTCAAAACAAAGTGTGAGTTACAGTAGCTGTGAGAATAAATTCCTTGAAAAAATGTCCAGGAACTGCATACTGTTATGTACCCCCAGAATAAGCCCTGATTTTTACACTTACCAACCTGCTCCAGTTGTTATAAACGTCTTCTTTGTCATATTGTTGTTATTTCTCACTTATATTCAAATATTAGAGTTAAAGTAAACTATCTTGGCTCAAATAATTTAAAAAATATCTGCCTAGTACTGAAAGAGTTAATTAAGTACGAACAGTTGCATTAGAATTCAGAGTATTCTTTTAAACGTAATGCACAATTTATGACTTATAACATGTCTTATATCAGGGTGAGGGCGGTGCCAAAGCTCAAGCCGAACAGGCGGCGAAAGAAACAGAAATGAAGAACATGATTCTTGGCCAAGTACTAGAGCAGGGAGCCAGGACGAGATGTAGGTGACACACCTGGTATAAATTAGCCTGATTTTGATTTTGACTGTTTATTTGTACAAAAAAAAAAGACATAAATAAACAATAGAGTGCACAATTTAGTGTCTTCTGCACAATTATGTTGTGTCTCATTAGATGCAAACTACAGATCCAGAAAAAATACGATAAAGCAGTTAACTGAATTCTCCAGTTGAAAAAAGTTGTCTCCTCGTGTGATGCAATTTTTTGTTATTTTGAAGCCCCACCCTGGCTTTTGCCGGGGCCCTGAATATATCCAGGCTATAAATATGGCCTAATGGCTGAAAGGAGTTTTTGTTGGACGAATTGGAATTGGAAAGGAGTTTCTGGGACCTCTCCATGGGTAATCCTTATCCCTATGGTGGCACTTTATGTCACCGGGTATTTATCGCTTGTGTGATGTCCTGGTCGGGTACAACTACCTACCTACCTCCAGTTCAATTACAAAAATCTACTAAACACTGGTCTGACTACATATTTTAAAAGGATATTGCAATAATTGTGCACGCTGTTTGTTTTCTTTGTTTATTTTTACTAGGAAACATTGCTTTTCTCTTTTAAATTGTTTCCTCCGAAGCTGTTTTTTTAAATATCTGATAGTATTCTATTGGGCTGGAAGCTGTTGTAGTGTAGTGGCTAGACGCTCGCCTGCCAGCTAAAGGCTTTGATTACAATAAAATCCCCATCAAGGCAGATTTTTTCAAATTTTAATTTGGCTCTCAGGTCCACCCAGCCTATATAGATACCAGGGAATGTCCTGGGACATAAAGACAGCCAGTGTGGTGTTGACCACATAACCCACCTAGTGTCGATTTGGTTGGTCTAAAAAAATATAGGTTTAACTTTACTTGCCCAGTGTACCACTAGTGTAAAAAGGGTCTGTTGTCCTTTCTATTTTCTTTTTCAAACTTTACTAATCTTGTTTTGCTTGCCAACTGGCGGGTGAAGAGATGGGTTCAGTCTTCAGTTGTGATGTGATGTTTTTTTTTTTTGAGGAGCGGCAACATAGACCTAAACAAAATGGGAGTCATTAGTTTTGTAAATAATTTGAAGGTAGTTGTGGTAATACAGGCCCCTTTATCCATTGTATTGTTTTGGAATTCCAAGAATAAAGCCTTAGCTTAAATTTTTTTTTTTTTTTCCACAATGGGCAATAGCTCTTAATGACTGCACATTTCTCGTGTTTGTTGCAGCGTTTGCCCATTCTTTTCTTGTTTGTGTCTGCAGTATGTACAACCACTGAGGAAAGACTTTGTTCTGAAACTTTTTTTTTTTCTTGGGGACCTTAGCTGATGGTTGAAAACCCAGTGACTCTATGAGCCACTTTTTCATAAAATTATACAGCACATTGGCAGCTTTGAACCTCTTTTAACTACAGTGAAAAGGCAAAAAATGCAATGGTATGAAAAAAAAATGTTATGTAATAAGATCTAATGGCCTCTCAAAAACAATACTACAGGGCTCAGTAGAGGGAAAGAGAGAAGAGGCAGACCAAGAAAGACCTGGTTACAGAACCTGACTGACTGGACAGGCCTCAGGCAGGCAACCATGGAGTCGATCGCAACGGACCGCCAAAGGTGGAGAGCGCTGATCATACAGTCAGCAGAAACTGGTGACCCAAAGACACGTAGTGTTACGGGATAATGATGATGATACTAATGATTATTAGTTTCTTATGTGATGTTATCATGTTGATATTGAAAATACCTCCCCAGTGAATACAATAGCTCTGACCAAACCTGACAAAGCCAGAATGATCGAAAGTATAATTATCCAGATGGCCACCTCAGGGCAGCTTCAGGGACAGAAGGTGAGGTTTGAACTTGTGTCTTTATCTTTCAGGGTAATCTTCTCAGCTTTTGCTCTACACCATCATAATTATCATGGGGTGCCTTGCCAGATGACTTGGTGTTTTATCTCTCTCCATAGCTCCCAGCCATTGGTGTTCTGGGTCGTTGGGGGGGGGGGGGGGGGGGGGGGTAATTTAATTTCAAGTCACCCATGTGAAGGAAACCCGGGAGTTCCTAGGAAAGTCCAGTATTCTAGGGATTTTATCATTTGAAATGAATTTAATAGGACAATACGAAGAGAACACCTGTGTGCCTTGGTATCAAAATGAAACAGATCTTTTAGCGCTTTGTGTATCAAGGGAGATAATAATGTCCTGTTTTGTGCTCTTCTGGCTGCTTCGACGATAGATACATCATGGTGCTGTAGAATTTCTCTGATTTTATCTTTCCTTCTTGTTTCTTGGTCTACCTCTTGTTCTGCTTCCTTCTCTTTTTTTTTTAATAAGCCTTGTGTGGTATAGCGTTAGAAGGCATTCTCTCCAGGTGGGCAAACCATTTGATTTACTGTCTGTATGTAATTTAGAATTGGCTGAGTGCCTAATTTATCTCATATGATCTTATTCAGTCTTGTTGCATGGCATGGAGGTGTGTCGGCACCCGAACTGATACATGCTGCAGGGGATCACGCAGATTATGGAGAGGCATGATCGCCCACGCCAGTCGGCAAGGCACCTGATGATGATGATGATGATGATCTTATTCCTGATTTGATCTCGTCTAGCCACCCCTACTAGTCTTTTTCAGACACCTCGTTTCCATGGTTACTAATTTGTTTTGTTTTTGTAATGTTAGTGACCACATCTGGCACTAATAGCATAGGGTGGGAATGAATATGCTTTGTATGAGGTGTTTCTTTTTTGCCAACAAAATGGCTTATTTTTAAGCTTTAATTAGACTTTAGTCATAGAATTAGAAATTCTGACAGGGCCACTAAATGGATCACATAATCAATGTTATTAGGCCAAAGGTAATGAAATCCAGTTACTTTTTCACACTGTTAATGTTCATTTATTACTGTTCTTCATATTTACAAATAGTAATAGATAATGTAGGGTTGGAAACAGTAACTGACTTCACTTACCTGGAAAGCAGTATCTCAAATGTAGTGGTTGAAATCAAGCAGAGAATTGCAAAGGCAAATGCTGCTTACAACAGACTTCAGAGTGTCTGGATGTCCTAGGGTGATTTCCCAGATGGTGTAAGGCTTAAAGTATGAGAGAGTAGTTTAGGGAAATACAGGAGAAAATGAGGAACCGTTAAAGATCATACAAGATAATAGTGAGAAGACAATATAGACTGAGTAGGTATGTCGTTACGCGGAGCAATTAAAGTACGCTCACCCTTGGATCAATTCAAAAGAGGTAGATACGAGAAGAAGATAGGTTCTTTGAACAGAGGCCGCAGCAATGTCTGCGACCCTTGAAGTTCTGTTGCACCAGTGCAGGTTCTGACTCTAACTCTATATGACGACTAATACAAGTCACCAAACCTGATTCTAAATAATCGATAGAACTAAACCAACTAGATTCCAGATTACACAACAATTAGAAGTTTATTAAAGTCAACAATATCTCTCCAAACGATATGATCAATAGATAACACTAAAAAAAAGCTGAATTCGCAAAGCAGACAAATATTCATATATTAGTAGTAAGAAGTTAACAAGCCGGTCTTATTAGCCCAGGTAAGCCTCAAATAACAAACACCTAGTTGTTCGACTTCTCATGTGCTCAACCGATTCTGTCGTTTCGCGATCTTGGAAAATATTCTCTCGTCTCAAAGTTATTCTATGGCAAGGGCGCCTGTAACTTGTGAACTTTCATGTGCAGAAAAGACTCTGTGTTGTCTCGCGCTCTTGGACAATCTTCTCTAGTCTCAAAGTTAAACTATGGCATGGGCGCCTGTAACTTTCCAGACTAGTCTCTTCGTTTTCACTCTTTTAGTCGACCTTACGGTATGGGCACCTGTCGACCCTCTAAGCACAATCTGCCTCTCTCAGTCCTTGCGTTAGCATATTTACTTTCCCTAAGTAACGCTCACCTTGGCCGTTTGTCCTACTTCTTCATGCTGACTCAGAGTTCAACATCTCTTTAATATATGCAAATTAGGCCGCTGTCTCACTCCGGTCTCTGTCCTTAGATAAACTGTTAGTTTCCTGATTCCCGCTCCCAATCTCCAGGCCTCCATTGTTCCTTGTAAACCTTTTTTGGTCAATACCCTCGTAACCTCTCTAAGATGGGCTATTTTCTCTTAGTGTTGCTTAGGTGTACGCTGCTCTAACAAGTTTCACTTTCTGGGGATTTTCCATAGCCTGATTAGTTTATGCAAATTCTCAACTATCGTTCTTAGTTCAATTGTCCCTTGAAGGTCATCGCACCAGCATCTTTGTCTGTCTTTCTAGGCCAATGCTGGGTGGGCTTCTAACCTCAGTTTCTTCCTTCCGCGATTTATGGGTGTATTGGCCTACAACAGTTCATGTCCTGGCTTGGCCCCACACCTACGCCTAAAGTCAATGCCCTCAAGGTTGCTATATTTTATACTATGTAGCGACCTTCTTATTCTCAAGCGACTCTATACCTCCTTCCTCTGTGTGTTTCTTTCCTTCTATTTCCTTCTTGTAATAAACGTGACTGTAATCGGTACTGTCACATGGAGATCAAACATCTGCAGCACCAAGACTAAACTCACGATATACAAAACATGATTAAGGAGCAGAAACTTGGAGAACAGACAGAAAGATAGAGAGCATGCAAAGATTTTGAGGGAAGACATCTCAGAAGATTGTTGGAGTTCACATGGGACTATAAAATTTGCAATTCTAGATTACAACAAATGACAGACTTAGAAGATGTAAATTTAGAAATCAAAAAACACGTCCTCAGAATGAAGAAAGAGAGACGGCCAAGACAGGCAATGCAATGGACACCACAAGGACAACGAGGAAGAGGCAGGCCCAGAGGTACTTTAGGCGAACTTTTGAGGCTGAACTCAAGGCTACGTGAATGACAAAACTGGAGATAAAGAGGATGGCTCAAGATCCAGTTGAGTGGTGACAGTTTGTCTCTGCCTTATGTGCCTCTGGGCGTGTGATGAGGACTGATCCATTGATTGATATTTACAAGAAAAAGAAGAAAATTAAAAGTGTATATTATTTTAAGACAAAAATGTGTGTGTGACTTCTGTACGATGGTTGTTTATTTGGGGTTTAGCAGGAATTCCCAGGAACTTTTTTTAAAAAAAAGAATTTCTGTTGCGAGAATAAATGTGATTATCACACGTCAGCTTCACTTCCTGATATTTCTGGATGCCTAATTTAGACCTCCATAACCTGTGAAGTATGTTGATCAAGAAAGGTTGCACTGTGTGTTACCGGCACCCTCAGACAAAGCAGAGAATTGTAACACTACACACTAAACTGTTGTTACTGTGAGTATCTACCACTTTTAGCATGGTGGAGGACAGGAGGGTTGTTTGACTGAGGATTTAAGCCTGCCTAGCTAGTGCAGAGGTTGCCACCACCTGTGTTGATGCATCAGTGTGTAAGCTGCAGACAGAAAACAATTTCCATCCCTTATTGAGGATCAAACTAAGGTCTCAGTGAGAGCCTAGCACTCAAGCCACTCAACCACCTGCTCTTCATTACTGCTTACTGCCGAATCATAAAAGGTTACTATAGGTAGGGTTGATTGACGGTGTTAACTGCCACTTTAACTGAAAATTGTTAACCACACAAGGCAGCCAGCTGTGAAAACATCTAAGAAAGAAACTAGAATCATTTGTCCTACCTTCTAAGACATAGCTCTTTACATAGAGAATGCATGGAGCAATCTGGAGAAAACTAAAGGAGTTTGTACCACTGACATAACCTTCTTTCACAGAGGAGAATCTCCAGAATTAACACTAGGAATGTTAGGACTATGTATCCATCGTGAAGGACAACACATGAAACCAAACAACACATGGAAAACAGAATTAGAAGCATGGGTGAATAAACAAGGAAGTCAGTTACATGAGGTGGTGAATGATAAGATATCTTGGCTTTAATTGGTTCAGGAGAGATACAGGAAAGAATCAGCTAAAAAATGCAATGTTAACGGGTTTAATTATTTCTCTACAGTTGTCAGAGCAGCGTCTGATTGATCTTCTGGAGCAAGTGAGCAATTCAACTCAGAAGAAAACAACAGTCAAGGTAGGCAGGCCACTGTCAGGTGGTTTTGACTTTTTTTGCTTTTGAAATTTGAGTTAAGTTGAGGAAGTTGAGTTCAGAGCCAACATGGCAGCACTAGGGACATTTGCACATGCACTCCATCCTCATCTTCAGCTGCCAGTGAAGGATTCTAATTCTAACAGTCTCATTATATATCTGTATTTACCTTTCATCTGAGTATAGTGTTGGCCAAACCTGCAAGTCACTCCTTGCTGCACAATTATTGATTTTGATGATTTATTTGCACTTTTCGCATAGTTCACATTGTTACCTTCCTTATTTGAAATCCCATAAGTATTATACCCTCAGTTGCCTTCCTTTTTTGAAGTCCTTTAAGTACTATCCCCTCTGTTACCTTCCTTATTTGAAATACCATAAGCATTATCCCCTCTTTCGCCTTCCTTATTTGAAATCCTGAAAGTACTATCCCCTCTATTAACTTTATTTTTTGAAATCCTATAAGCATTATCCCCTCTGTTACCTTCTTTATTTGAAACCCCATATGCGTTATCACCCCTGTTACTTTCCTTATATGAAATCCCATAAGCTTTATTCCCTCTATTACCTGTTTCTAATGTTCTGTTTTTTTTAAACTGACATTTTCAGTTTGATCGGCGCAGAGCTCACCTTGATGATTCTGATGAGGACTTCTAGTGTGCATGCCAGTTTGTATTTCTCTACGGGTGTGGATACCAGCATTTGAAGTCATCTTGTTCTCTTTGTTCTTGGTGTATGATTGCTTGTTCCTTTTTGACTTGTTGATTTTTTTTTTAAAGTGGTGCACATTTGAGATGATGCTGTGAAAGTACTTTATATTAAGTTTGTATTGTGTTCTAGGCTTATTTCGTATGTTTGTGAATGGGCAACCGTCACCCCATAGAGACTATGGAATTGTTCTGCTGGTTTTTAGAACAGCATCAGCTATAAGCGGTGATGGAGTGACTTCTTCAGAGCAGCGGCCTGGGCTTGTTGAATGAAAGTACTGGCTGTTGCCTAGGGAGCAGCTAATGCTGAAGAAAGAGCAGATGCCAACACAGCTTGGCATCGAAGAAGTTACAGGAATTGCTGAAGAACATTGGGAACCACCTTCACTCGTTAAGAGCTTTTCCCAAGGTATTGCCTCAAGGCTTTGGAGGTTTAAGAACTGAGTTTTACTTTTGTATTTGTTAACATTTGATAGATTTATGGCTAACCCGTATTAACCAGCTCAGGTTGTTTTGTTCTCAGTTGATCTGTTTAAGCTTTACATTTTGTCCTGCCAGTTCATTTGTTTAGTCTGTTGATTGAAACATGAGTTTTTTTTTTTTTTTTAACTGGCCACTTCCACCATAATTCTTTCTATTCCCAGCCCACAGACTTATTCCTGGAAAATCTTTTCCAGTTTTCCCTTCCACAGGCTATGATTGAAAAAAAAAAAAAATTGAAATATTTGCTGGGGTTAAAGCCTGTATGTTTTTCTGCCTTTACCCCTCATTGAAAAAAAAAATAAAGAAAAAACGATCTTTTTGTACCTTGTGATACTGAGGTAAAGTATAAACCAAAGAGAAAGAGAGAGAGGGGGAAAAAAAGAGAGAGGCAAAAAAAAAGAACCTGAAACACTTTTTTTTTTTTTACCTGCCACTCCCACCATAATTCTTCCTATGCCCAGCCCATAGACTTATTCCTGGGAAATATTTCCAGTTTTCCCTTGCCTTCCGCGGGCTATGATTTTTTAAATCTTTGCTGGGGCTATAACTTGTACGACCTTTCTGCCGTTACCCCTCATTGGAGCAGAGGCAGTAACCAGCTTACACTGGCATCTTATATTTTGCCATCTCTTCCTGTCCCATCTGTATCCTCCCCCACATAATTCACATCTGTCCCTTTGGTATATACTTCACTTCAGTATCACAACGTACAAGAAGATCAAAGTGAGACAGTGAAGCTAATTATTTATGAAAGTCTGATTTGTAAAACTGAAAAATTTCCTGTTTAAGTTATTAAAACCTGTTTTCTGCGAAAATATGACTGGGTTTGTTTTATGAAAAGCTTGCTTTGAAAATGCACTAGGGTAGGGCTCTTCATCTAAGTTTACCAATGTTTAATAAAATTGAGCATTGTTACGGGCCAGAGACCCCAGCCCCAATCTAGAAAGATCGGTAAAAGTAAAGTAAAGGTCCCTCTTCCACATCTTTAGGCGTATAGGGCTAGACCTATATTTCTTATAGACCAATCGGCACAAGATGGGTGATGTCGTCAGCATCACGCCAGAAAGATCAGTAATACAATACAAATAATGATCTTTGGACCATTAAGTAGGCCTGTGTTGGCCAGATTTGGCGCACGGGCCATGAGTTAAATTCCTGCACTAACTTTTGTTTTCAGGTTTTTTTTTTTTTCCAGTTACAAAATCCACATTTATTTGTTTCGGAAATTCTACATTTATTCAAATACAGTTATTTAATTAGTCTTCATTTTGAACATCATCATAGCTCTCCATATCCTGAATGTCTACTCCGACTGATCATTCGGCAACAAGTCTCTCATTCTAGTTGACAGTCTTAACTAGGGCTTTTTTATGAGACAGGGCTTATATTAAAAGTATCCTGAAAATCATGTTGGAGCTGTTCTAGGGTTAGTTTTATTTTCGGGGAACTGCATTTATTTGTGTAGTAGTTTTCACCAGGTCACATACTTGTGACTCCCCAAGTGTTGCATTTGAGCTCTGTTGTGCTCTAGATACTTCAGTTGTGATTTACTTCAGCAGTTATGATTGTTTTGTTCATTGTGATTGTTGGGATAGTCAGTGAATTTAAGATGATGAAAGTGAGGTGACCTCAGTGTCCGATTGTGAAATATTGTTTCAGTGTCAAAGGGTAACAATTGTATTGCTTCATTAAAAATTATAAAAGTGAGACTTTTCAATATCTGATTTTGAAAGTAATATTATTTCATTGTCTCAGTGTCAGGTTTTGAAAGTGTCATTGTATCAGTTTAAGATTATGAAAGTGGCATTTTATCAGTGTCAGTTATCAAAGTGATATTGTATCAGTGTCAGACTATGAAATTCCCCATGTTTCAGTTTTAGATTATGAAAGTGTCATTGTTTCATATTATGAGTCTGTCATTGTTTCAGTGTGCATTTATGAAAATGACATTGTTTCAGCCTCAGATTATGAAAGTGAGATCACGTAAGCGTAATATTTTGAAAGTTTCATTGTATGTGTCTCCAGTTATGAAAGTTTCATTGTATCAGTGTGAGACTTTGAAAGTGTGATTGTATCGGTGTCAGGTTATGACAGTTTTATTGTGTCAGTCACACAAATGTAAGCAAGATTACACAAAAACACTTAACTGAAGTGTTTTCAAGAGAAATCACACATCTGTCTGGCCAGTTGAAGCTCTGACACATGTGTGACCACTGGAAATTAATGCTCAATTAATAATTATTTCCTTTACAGAGCAGCGCTCTCTTCACAACACACTTTAAAGTCTTTCTCTAGCCATTTCTGCAGCCCTGTGTGCTTTTATAGCCAGTGCATCTTTAGTGTCCTTACACACCTTCCCGGAAGTCAGCCTCTGTCTCATTTCCCAGAAACTGCACCCTCCATCATTGTTCTCTCTGGGTCACCAAGCTGTTTAACATATCCAAAATACCTCAGCTTTCGGGAGAGGATGCTGTTTATGAGCCAATTCTTCTTGATTTTCAGGTTCTTCTTCTTGGTCTATGGTATTCTAAGAATTCTTCTGTAGCAGCATTTCTGTTCAAAAGCTCTGATTTTCTTCTTCAAAGACTGAGTGAGAGTCCATGACTCACATCCATAAGTTGCCAAGGGAAAGATACATGATCCCAGATGTTTCGCTTTAACTTGCTTGCAGGTGCTATGCCTTAGGCTCTTTATACTGCTTAGCCTCTTCATTGCTATAGCAAGTCCTTTTCTAACTTCTTTTATGTAGTCATCATTGTTATCCATTAATGAGCTAATGAAACACTAGCCAGAATGGAAATGAAACTGTGATCATCAAGGGCTACAATTCAGACTTATTAGATAAAACTGTGTTGGATGTTAAGTCCCCTGGACGAGCTGGGTACCAAGCAGCACACCACGAGTTGATTTATGATTAATTCAACTGCCCTCTGGTACTGAAAGGGTTAATGATTTTACTCAAGTGAATGGACTCTACATTGTGTGTAAGAGCGAGCAGGAGAATGTGTTACTAGAAATATGTTTATAAGTTTATCAGGATAGTAAAGTATTGCATATAGTCAGTGCTTTATTCTGGTTACATCATTGCATGATCTTTTCATTTAATCGTAAATGAAGTCCATTTTTTTTTCTATGTTCTTTGAAAATAAAAGTGGTCTCTATTGCCATTTACTGTTTTCTTTGTTGTCTGCATTCACCTGTAAAAGGGACAGTTGGTATGTTATTTTGTGGATGACAGTTTTGCTGTGATATCTGCCCCTATTGACCCAATACATCAGATTGCAGCAAATCCTGAATTAGTTGCTTTTTACTACATGCTTTTCATGATGTGCTCTCCCGGAGGGTTCCGGGGCTCCAGTTTTGGGAAGGAAAAAAAAGAGACCCATCTGTCGCCCTAACAAGCATATGGTACAAGCGTAATAGTGCAGCAAAAGAGGAATGTGTTCATGATCTATAATTAAGTGTATTAATAGAAGAATGTGTTCATAATCTATAATTAGGTGCTGCAAAAGAAGAATATGTTCATAATCTATAATTAGGTGCAACAAAAGAAGAATGTATTCATAATCTATAATTAAGTGCAGCAAAACAGAAATGTGTTCATAATCTATAATTAGGTGCAGCAAAAGAAGAATGTTTTCATAATCTATAATTAAGTGCAGCAAAAGAGAAATGTGTTCATAATCTATAATTAGGTGCAGCAAAAGAGAAATGTGTTCATAATCTATAATTAGGTGCAGCAAAAGAAGTACCAAGCAAAATATTTTGTAAAATCCTCATAATGCGGCTTGAAAAAGGAGTAGATAAATGCCTACGAGTGGAACAAGCAGGATTAAGAAAGGGCAGAGGAACAACTGAGCACATCTTCGCCATACGTAACATTTTAGAACAATGCAACGAATAGCAGAGAAGTATATATATTAATTTTGTGGACTTTGAGAAAGCTTTTGACAGCGTCCATAGAGACGGTCTGTGGAAAATTTTACGACATTATGGAATTCCAGAAAAAATAGTCAACATAATTGCTCTCTTCTATAAAGACTTTTCCTGCAGTATAAAAAATTACATCTTTCCCAGTAAAGACGGGTGTAAGACAGGGATGTGTTATGTCATCTCTCCTCTTCAACCTTGTGATTGATTGGATACTAAAGAACACAGTAGACAGGTCATTAAGAGGCATACGATGGACTCCATTTACAATGCTTGAGGACCTTGATTTTGCAGATGATATAGCACTCCTATCACATAAACATGAACATATACAAGAGAAAAGTAACAGACTAAACTGCACAGCAGAAATGGTGGGACTGAGAATAAATACAGAGAAAACTAAGATCATGACAAACAGTCCAAACCAACAACCAGTGACCGTAAGTAACCAATCACTTGAAAATGTAGAACATTTCACATATCTTAGGAGTGTGGTGTCCCTACTGGGAGGGACAGAGGAAGACACACACACACAGT